TGGAAGCACTGTCTGACGCGTCTGCCTCCGCGACCCGAAAGGAGAAGCGGCGATGGAAGATGAAGATTTTCGCACGAATAACAGGATCAAATTAAGGCACCAATGTAACGAAATGATAAAGTAAAACATTTTCAATAATTTCATCATGTCAACATTTATAATGAGGACAGCCTTGTCGGTAAATGGTCTTCAACTGACCGTTGTTTGAGTCTCAGTCAGGAAGCAAGATTCACCCTCTTGCGATGTTCCTTGATGAATACCACCATTTTATGGATGGGCTACCAAACAGAAATGCGTCAATGACAAAGAACGGTATAAAACGTAGGCGTAAATTGAAAATGGACAATTATATAGGTAGCTAATATCGGTGGCAGTTGCCGTTGTTAAGATTTTTCCACTGTGAATCCCATCGATCCGCCACTATCTCTGCGTTTCTGTTCGAATCAGGGTGCCTTTGCATTTTATTGATAGAACGCAGAATGCAAGACTTTAGGGTCAAGGTGTGAAAAATGCCATCAAGCTAAACAGAGTCTGTTGCTGATCGCTGTGCGACGGAGATCAATGGCGTATAATAAGTTTTACAAATAAAATACCTCTGAAGATATTGAAAAATGGAAATTTGTTTTTGTACCTCATGGTGATAGCAATCCATTTAGGAAGTCTCTCAGCCCAGAATCATACAGAGCACATCATCATCACAGTACATGAGATCAGGCACTTGCGAGTCCTTCGTAACGGGAAACCCCGCACAATAGGTGGCTCTGCCATATCCGTTCGAGGAAAACAGCAATCGCGCCAATCCTCACAAAGCTTTAACATGGAACCACGTTCGGTGACGATGGAGGGCAAACGAATGCCCGTCTAAGGCACCAGTTAGGCCTGGAGAGCAGATACACCACGTTTAAAGATCAAACAAACGGAAAGTGTCCGGACGAACCTGGCCTCTAGTCCATTGGGTGCATCACAAGTCTGGCTATATCATGGGACTTTTGCGTGCACGGTGGATTTCAGCAGCAACGGACCGAAACCGACGGGCCTGGAGTCGCCGATTTTGCAGAAGTTGTCTCAGATATAGCGATGAGGTACCGGAGAGGCATGTTAACATCAAGGCGTGACAACGGCGACTCTGATTAATTACGATTCGTAAGCACTAACAAGGACATGCCAGTTGTTGTTTCCATACATCACGGAACTGTACCACTGGCAGATATTTAAGACCTTACAAACATCCAATTATTCTTACGGAATATTGTAGCCATTGAACTCCACAAAATACTTGCAATCCTGTAATAGTAAAACACCTCTGAGTCTGACTGAAAGAAAATACAGTGGAACTCGCTAAAACAGCTTACTTGAAATGGTAGTCGTCAGATTGAGGAAAGCCACGACCTTCACAAATGTCGCGCAGACTCAATTTACTTACTCTTCAAGCAAGCAGTGACTAGGGACGACGACGAAATACATTCCGCAGATGTCAACGAACGTTCCATGACAAAACGGAAGTTCGTACGTGTCTGAAGACGTTAGCATCACAAGGAACGGGTGATTGAATGGATGGACTTCCGTTTCGTTCAGACGTCTAAATTTCTTCTTCTCGAAGTCTGTGGTACCGTAAGTGTAAGGAAGACAGCTTGAAGAATAGATCTGCAAATTGAAAAATAGCGAGCTATTAATAATGACTGCTGATTGATTACTAACTGATTGCCATACCTGTTCAATTATCACCAAAATCTGTAGTATCTGTTGAAAGGAGCTTCCAACGTGAGTCATTTGTAGGAACATTGCTTGCACGTGAATCTGCACCACGATGCTGATAGAAATAATATCAAATGCGTGGTACATCTCCTTTTATAACACGGTAGATGCGTTACTGCCAATGTAGTGCTCAGTTTTTGGTGCACGAATCAGAAAGTGACAACGTTGCCTCACTGTTCAAACAAGCCAATCGTGTTTCGTTAATTAATCACGAGAGTTTCGTTTCAGGTATATGGTTCACAGACAAACAATGTCTATTGCACGCGAGTAATTTAAATATTATTGCATAAGTTCGCTTCAAATTATACAGAGAAACGTTCCTTTGGAATCGTTAATAATTGACAACCGAAAATTTTCTTATTCTTCGATATCTTCTCTCTTCTTCAGTTTTGTACACGATTTTTTCATTGAGGGCATTCTTCTACGCCAAGGCTGGCTGCATCAACCAATGTTTTTGCGAACTTGCCCCCTGTGCCTTTCTTCAATAACAAAATCGAATGGCTTAGCGGCTGATGTCTCGCCTGTCCCCTTGTTATAAAAAGGGTGTGGGAAAGCAATTAGATGTTAGTTAACGTTTGAATGCCTGTCCTCATTTACTTGCATGAGTGGCAGCGTTTTAGAGCCCTGCCTTTCATACAGCTGATGATGCGGTGTGGATCTCCTCATAAATGACCACCCAGAAGTGACTCTATTTCAGATGGCAGAGTCTAGAGACATACATCAAGCGTAGCGGGTAGTTTCGTGCCATTTCGCATAGACCGGTGCTGATTTATCAACCTCAGGATAGAGAAGGACATCTGGTGCCGACTTGCACTTAAACACCGAACCATTCAGTTCTGAGTTCGACATTCTACCGACTGAACAACTTTTGTGTGAAGGAGTATGTGGCAAATTTCTAGCTCAAAGCAATCGGTGAACTGGACTCGGTGAACTGGACACTGATTGTGCTAGCGTGAGATGGAACCGGTTACCTCCGGAGTTTCAAGCTGACATCTAAGACAACTTAATCAATTCGCCGAAGCGCCAACATACAGAGAGGGAGAGACCTCCAGACATGGAGGTTTGCTTCGATCAATAAGAAGTCACGGAGAGGCAACGCTGAGATCATCGTGGCATCTCCATGTTGATTCCTTAGAAGAAATTCGTAATTACCAATGAAAATCTGATGTAGGCGCCAAAACAACTCACCCTTTGAAAAATGGCTTTCTAAGTTACCGATGTCCTAGGGCTAGACGTCAATTCTTCAAAGACAATTAGAGCTAAGTTCGATAGTATACCGGACCATAATAACGAGCACATAATACAATTAATTTATGTTTATTAAAATTGAATTAGAAAAGACGAATGCCTTTGTAAAGCGATATCCTCTGTATGTGAAGAGTCTGAAAAATTGTGGGTCCTTCTACCCCTGATAGCGCAACAGGCTCTGTTTGCACAGCTTTCGTTCGATGACTTGCCTAATGTCGGTTTGACTCGAAATTTTCACGTGACGGCAATGGCGGGTTTGCACTTGGCGCCGCAGCATTATCCGTCTGTGAAAAATTTTATGCCTCCATTGCG